GGATTATGCCTTCTGTTGAGGTGCTTTCTGTTGACTCATTTTTTCAACCAGGTAAAGAGAAGAGTCAAAAGGAACATGATGACAAGTAGAAAAAAGGAACAGGAAATCTGGTAGGGAGCAACCCTGAAAAAACAGACCATCTTGAGGAAATATTGAAAAGAAATGATGGAACACGGTGCATGAGGCTTGGCTCACATCTTGGCTTCATCACTCAACATCCACAAACCCAAATTTTATGAAAACCCAGTAAGAGGGCTTAGTTTTATCAAAGCCCCATTCTGTTTGCATTACGTAGAGAAATGTAATACAGAACCTGTATCATTATAGTGCTCATGTTGATCAGTGAGGGTCCATCTACAATTAACAGATATTAGAAATCATCTCCAGTAAGCAGAGACCGAAGTTTTTGGAGGGTAAGGACCAAGGTTTTACTCCTGGCTCACTGAGTATTTGTCATGTATTTATTAAATTTATACTTACAGTTGCATTGCAAAACAGCACGTAGTCTGTAGAAGTAGAATAGATGTCATGTTTTTTTTCCGGTTACAGGTCCTTAAAATATATGCTTACTCTGGGGTCCCATGGTGGCAGTTTTATAGTTAGGAATTTAACAGAGCTTTACTTTAATCCATATTTTCATGCCCTTGTAATTATGTTTAACCAAAATACTGGTAACATTTTAAAGAGCTGAAGTCAAGAGTAGGACAAATATGTCCAGGTCCCATGAGCTGGACAATTTATGCTATGGATAAATTTGATTTTTAGATTCAATTTCCCTTATTCTACTGATAAGTTTATATACTTCAGTTCTTTTTAAAATGAGGGTTATAGGGCTAAATGCTCCTTAAATCCCAGGATTTAATCTTTACAGTCTTTTCTCCAATGCCTGATAAAGGGTGTTTGTGCCCAAAAGCTTGCAATTAAAGAATTTTCTTCACAAAAATCTTGTTGGTCTAATAAAAGATATCATCTCTACTACAAGTCCTGATTGCCTTAAATCTTTCTCTCCAACATTCCTCAGTAAATACAGGCATAGAAAACCTCCAAAGGGCAAAAAAAGAACAACTTTTTCCTCTTTGAGATAAAAAGTGGGTCATGGTTCTGAGGTACTTGCTTTCTCAATGTGGGAAGCTTCCACAGTTACATCAGCGGGGGATCTGTGCATGCAGGAGGAACAGAGAACTGGATATGAGACCAGTCTTTTTGGATGAAGAGGACAAAATTGCTCAGATGGTTAGTCACCCTGCTGGGAAACCACTCCAGATCTTATTCCACTGAATACATATTCCAGGTGTTCCTGACTGGATGGTCCTGTGTGTATCACTGGAACTTCCTAAATGTGTTATTTAGGAAATAAGGTATTTGTTATAATTTCAATCATCAGAGGCAAAACTGATAGAGACCCTCTCTTTTCCTCACTTACGTGTTTCCTCCTCCACCCAATTTTTTCTCATCGGCGATTTTTAAGTTTGTAGAGAAAAATGGAATGGCTGTTGTACTTTAGAGATTTCTTCTCCCCTTGTCTGGAATTTCTAATGATTACACGACAAGTTCAGAATTGCTTTTATGATTTTTTTTAAAGAGGATGCGTTTTATCTGTTCTTGGAACATATTTTGTTGATGAGACTGGCAAGGATCCATTTATTTGTGATAAATTAAGCAGCTGGGATGTAGGCCCTGAATCACAATGACCTTAAATAGTATTCTGGATAAAAGGGAATGTTGAAATCAAAAAGAAAAGTTCAGCTTCATGTTGTAGATTAGGGTCAATAAGAACATTTCCGCTTTTTATGCATGATTTAGCATGTATTGCAGACAGCTTCTGTGTGTCTTACTGATTCTATGTGACTGAATGAATGCAGAAGCACACTGACCTGAAGCCACTAGCTTCAAGTTCTAGTCAGTTTTGAAGAGGTGTCAGTAAGCAAATGGAAGCTAGCCCCCAGGAAGACCTAGCTACCAGCCCTGGAAAGATTCCTGGAAATCACTGCAAGGGTCTCTCAACTGATGTTACCTGCCATACCAAGGTATCAAGTGAGAGGTGGCTTCGTCGCTTGTTTGGGTACCAGACCATTCTGAAACCCAGAGATATTGCCAACTTCTAAGACTGCAAGAACAAGTATCCATTACAAGTGTTATAAGTTCACAGGGTAGTTGAAATTTATGCTAGGTGGAACACCTGAATTCTCTTTACAGGTAGCCACTTCGCACTAGATGCAACAGAAGTGTGGATGCCCACTGGAGGGTCTAGTACAGAGATGTTCTAATGCAGGAGACAGCTTTCTGACTATATTTAGGTGGTAGAAGATACAGGCCTATACTATTTCCTGAGAATTCTGGACTAGAAAAGGTTCCCATGCTATACATTATTTGGTAAAAATTAGGTAGATCATGCTTACATTGCTTTGGTGTCAGATGTTCTACTCTATTGACAAGTAGAAGTTCAAGTCAATCTGACAGAGAGGCTAGATACAGTCACTTAGGACTTGGGCCAATAAAGGACTTACCTGCTAATGCAAGATTTTAGTGGGGTTGAAGTCCATACCTCCAAAATTACAAAATCCCACTCACCTGCCACTGAACCTTGGAGCCACCTAAATTCATCAGATGTGTCCTTCTTTGACTATATATTACTCTAGGTGTCACCTGCTACTACATCATGTGCAGAACTGCCAATGTTTGAGCTGTGCAGAGCCTGTCTCCTGTTTTTGGCTTCAGAAAACCAGGTCTTCCTTTGCTTTTTTCTTAGGGGCCAGTTGGAGTGCTCCTAGAGGCTGCATCCAGGTAAGCATGGATGTTTGGTTTCCTGGGTACAAGTAGCAGCAGCACACCTTGTGCTGCTGCTGCTTGTCCCTGGGGAATTCCTACCATGCACACTCTGGCACATGGCAGGTTACCCTGGGTAGAGTACGGGAGGTAGGGGCCAGCAATTGTGCTGGCTGCAGCAGCCTTACCTGGAGTCCTGGGGGCCAAGGAAGCTTCAGCTGCAGTATTCTTGCAGCTGGGAACCTGGAAGGCAGCCAGAGTGTGGCTGTGGCTGGCCAGGCTCCGGTTTTTGATGGCACGTGCTGCTGCCACGTGCGCCACCTTGCTTTTTCCATGCAAGTTTTTTTGGACCCTGGGATCTCCCAAGATAAAACCCTCCCACCCCCATGCTGCAAGTTAGCAGCATGGGGTATAGACCTGAATATGCAATGTGTGGTGCTGCAGATTGGTTTGCAGCACCACATACCACACAGCTGCACTTGTCTGGACGTGGCCGGTGTCCCACACACACCAACCAGGATCAAGCTCCTCATAAATAGCAAAAGCAAATGGCCACTTTTGTGGTAATTTTAGCCAATGACTTTAATTTAAAGTATGTTATTAGCTCTTGGAATGGGGGCGGGGCTGGGTGGGGCTGGTCTGGGAGCTGAGGCGCACCATTGACAGCCCAGAGGTTGCAAGTTCAGAGCTATAGCAGGCATGCTCATGGTATGGCCCTGCCAGACTGCAATGAATCTGTGAATTCCACTAAATGCCTTTTCACAAGGGCATGCGAAGGAAGGAAGCCCTTGGAGCAGTAAGTGGAATGCACAACTCTTAGTGAGCAGCCTAAGCACTAAGCTACAGTTATGCTTTTGCTTGCTCTTTCTGTCTCATCCAATGAATCTTGAATTATTCTTTGCTTGGTGATACAATTTCAAACGAAGGCGAAGAGAATGCTGCCACACCACTTAGAACTTACTCACCTACCTCTCTCCATTGACTTTATCCCAGAGATCCCAGACACATAACCCTGTCTAATTGGGAAATCCTTCCTTAGCAAGAATGGTGAAGCCTACATTATAGATATCTATGGAAAAATCTTGGTGTAGGCCCTCATTTTCCTCCAACAGTGTATACACTGCATACTGAAGCACCTAACTCAGAGTTGTGGATTTCACAGCATGCCATTTCCCTGAACTGCTTCAGTTATGTGTATTTATCTCAGCTGACTACTTCAATGTATCTTTCAAAGATATTTTCTATTATATCTAAATCAAAAGTATAGTATTACATTTTCATAAATGCAGTCACAATATTGGACAGATCTGATGGGATTATTTTTTATTATTATATGAATGATTTATACAACAAGTTTGGGGTTTTTTTACCCCAAGTAAAATATTGACAGCTATTTTTATTATTTGACAAGTGCTGCAGATGATTGAATATTATTTGGCAAATAATCTTTGGTCAATTGTTTAAGAAATATTCACACGCATGCTGTTCCACTGGACAAGTAGCTCTACTAGGGAAACATAGATTAATGCTAGGATTTTCAGTAGGGTTTAGATGACAAGTCCTATTGAAATATCAAAAGTAATTAGAACTCATGGTAGAGGTGATATCTTTTATTAGACCAACTAGATTAAAAAAAAAAAAGTTATTTATTTGCAAGCTTTTGGGCATTGAAATATCAAGGCATTTAGGCATCTAATTCTATTTAGCTTTTTTGGAAATCCCAGTCTCTGTTGTTTGAGGTTGTTTCCCTGTATTTTTTTTTCTAAAATCACTACCAAAGCAAGCAAGTAAAAGGCTTTCCCAAGGGAATCTGTTTAAACTTGTTGCAATGTCTTTGAGGATCATGGGTGCTGGTATAGAGTGATACAGGGAGGAACTGTGCTGTCAACAACAGGAAGTTGGTGAAAAATGAGTGATGCCCCTAGGGGGGTGAATGCAGAGCAGATGGCTCTAATTGTGAGTCACACTGTGACAACTGACAAGAGAAATTCTGCTCTCTTGACACTTTAAAGATATCAAAAATACCAGAGAGCACATTCCATGGCTTCTTGAAGACTTCCATATCGAGGGAGTGGGGGGAGAGTGCCAACTCCTCCTGTTTCCATCAGTAACAGCCCATAAAAACTACTGTTGATAAGCTTCCAGGCAGCCAAACATTCTAGTACTTAGATAAGTCACTAATGTTAATAAAAACACTGATGAAATAAGAAAGAAGAGGTGCAAAGGGGGTGCCTGTGCAGGGAAGAACGGGTTGATTTAGACGCTGATCCTTTCACTTAATGGTAGGTCTGGATAAGAGGGGAAAAATAACATCCTTGTTTATTCACATTGCTAGATTTTGAAATCTCTCTTTATTCATTTGGAATGCATTAAAAAGCATTTGTTGGATGTATTTCAGTTATTGTCCGGATATGGAGCCGTAGATTTATGTTGTGTTTCTTTTAATGGAGGCATGAAAAGTCAAGAAAGGAACCATTTATAGTTTGTTCCTGATTTTGTATTTTGTCACAGATCTTTGCCTAGTTTAGGTCTGTTGCAATTTATAGAGCTACCTAAGAAGAAAATATGTGCATACCATGCCACTCACTTTATCTCCACCTTGTGCTATTGTAGCTTTGATAATAGTCTGCCTCTGGAGCTTAAGTATAAAAAAACATCATGGTTAACTCACTTGAATTATATTCAGCCCATAATTTAGAAGTTTCAGATCATTAACATTAACATTTAATGACATCACTGTGCATTAATCATATGCACATTTTACACCACTTTGGTGGTATAAAGAACCTTTAAATTGGAGTAGGGCTGTGCAAAGCTTTAGTCCCTGATTCGATTTGGTGGAGATTCAGCCAATTCGATGGCTGAATGTCCGAAACTGAATTGAATCAGGAGACCCTTTAATCTCTCCAAATTGAATCAGAACACTCTGAATCAATTTGGAGAGATTCAGAAAGATTCGGTTATTTGGACAAAGATACAACTTTAAATGTTTTTTCTACATACCTCAAGGTACTAGGCGGCTCATGAACGCTGCAATGCTGGGGTGGATGGAGTGTCCCACAGGAGCATGGGGGGCTCCCCAGCGTGCTTGGCAGCACCCCCCGGAAGTGGACCAGAAGCACTTCCAGTCTACTTCCGGGTCTGCCAGAAAGCACGCTGGGGGCTCCCTGGCGCCCCACCTGGCTTGGCAACTGGTGCTTCCTGGGTCTCAGGGTGCACCCAAGGTCCCCTCATGGTCAATTGCCAAGCTGGAGGGGGCACGGGGGGTGGGGCAGTGTGCTCTCTGGTGGACCCGGAGGTGGACTGGAAGTACTCCTGTGGACCAGACATGCTCCTGTGGAACACTCCATCCGCCCCAACGTTGCAGCATTCACGAGCTGTGCTGGTACCTCGAGGTATATATAAAAAACTTTTAAAGCTGTGTCTATGGCTGAATCGCTGATTCTCTGAATCATCATCTAATCTTCAGATTTGGCTTCGGCTGAATCGAATCAGGGACAGTGATCTGAATCAACAAATTGAATCACTGTCTGTGATTTGGGTCGAATCTGAATTAAATACGGCCTGCTTTGCACACCCCTAGTAGGTATGCCTAGATAATATACTATTATTTCAGAGCACCCTTGACAAACAGGATCGAATCACTGTCCCCGATTCGGGCCAAATCGAATACAGACCGTTTCGCACACCTCTAAATTGGAGTAAGTGTAACATAATATCACCTTAAAGTCTCTTAATAGTCTCAGGACTAAGAATCTGGCCTTGTAAGAAAATCCTTGACTCCTCACATTTTAGACTAGAAATATATTACCTTCACCCAATTCAAGTTAAAGGATTATTATTTCCCTTTTGGCATATTTCATGCAGCAAGTCTTAATAGTTTTTCCTTTGAGAATTACAGTGTTGCAAATAATTACAGGAGCATCTTGTTCTGACCTGGTGCAGGCTCGCTGAATGTTTACATTCTCCACAGCCTCCAGAAGACTCTGCTTCTTCCTACATGAGATACTTCACTGATTCTACTGTCTCGTTAATCAGAGACAAATGTGTGTGCCCTATTTTAGAGGCCAGCTAAAACTCCATAAATACTTGTTTCTTTTACAAATGAAGCAGAGGCTCAAAAGTTGTAAGAAGTATTTTAGTGTTCTTGTTGAAATAGGTGTTCCAATATTAGGGTGATGGGTGATATCCAAATGCCTAGATAGACAGACATATTGTCCTATCCTCCGTGGTCCTAGTTATTACCTGACATTTTTGATTGATAGTTAACTGGCCTGATAATTTTGTTAGTTTGTTATTTTGTTTCATTTTACATCCGCTGACAAGGCTTCAGATATATTTTGCTGCAGGTTATGTTTACCTGGCACAATGCAGTGCCATGCAAGAGATATCTGAGTTATTCAAATAAAGGAAGAAGTATGGATGCCTTAGATTGGTGCTCCATACAGCTTTATTTATTCTACTGAGCAGCTACATTGCTTCCAGTTCTTGAGATGTTATGACATGTTATGCCACATAAAACCTCTGCTTGGCTTATTCCTGCAGTCAGTTCAATTTCTTTGTACTCATTAAGAAGGTAGGGCAGGGTGGTGCCTTAGGCTGCATCCAGATGTGCAAGGATGTACACTAGTAGTGACAAAAATAGAAGTGGCACAAATTTGTGCCACTATTTTTTTGCCACAGTGCACACCCCTGCATGTGTGCTTTGGTGAGGGACAAATTGTCCTGCTTCAGGCAAATTGCCCTTGCCCAGCTCCTCCCGGCTCCTGGTGTGGTGAAGGAGCCAGGCCACAACTGCAGGAGTGGAGACACTCTGGCCAGTAGCTAGAGAATCTCCATGGAGGACTGAGCCTCCATGCCTTCTGGTGCATGCTTCTGGTGCGTGCACCACGTTTTTTTTTTCCAGCACTTTTTTTTTTTTTGCTACTGGGATATCCCAGTAGCAAATTTTGGGCCTGCACTGCAAATTTGCAGCATGGAGCACATTTTAATGTTCCCCATGTGCAGTTTATGGTGCTGCAAAGAGGTTTGCAGTGCTACAAACCGCACGTGCCTGCAAATCTGAATATGGCCATAGAGATTAACTGGTCCAGAGAGGCATAAGATTTTGTAGGCAACAATCCAATTCATCCAACTCCATTCACAGCATCTTATGAAGTAGATTATTGCCTGCTGACAGATGTGGAAAAAAAAAAAACCCAGCCCTTTACCAGAAGAGGAATTGCATCAGTTTGACTCAGCTTGCTCAACTTCTGTATAGCTCGCATGCTTCAGTGGGGCTTTTTGGCACTTTTATCTAATAACTGATTCAATTAGGTTGATTAAATCAGATATCAGGTTGATAATCAGGTAGCTGTTTCATGGAGCAATCTTGGATGTGTCAAGAATTTGCATTTCTAACCTTTTTCTGCTTTTCCCGGCCAGGAAGCTGGTAGTATAACCCTGATAAATTATAGTAGGTTTATATAACCCTACTATAGTAAGGTTAGCATAATCCTACTAATCATGAAAGATTAACACTTTCATGATTTAGGACTGGTATTCATATGGACTTGTAACCCCTTGTGCACAAGAGGCCAATTTTTCCAAAAAAGCATCTGTACATTCTTACTGCCCCCTGAGCGTCAAATGCAAAAGAAATACAGGTACACATATCCTAAAACTCTCTCTAAGGAATCACAAAGCATTGTTATCATTCTGTCACATTACAACTGCCAGAAAAGCCTACTAGAATGTAGTATCAGCCCACAGGGACTTACATGAATGCCTATATTCTATGCTATGAATTTAAAAAATTTTCTTTTTATATATTTATTATGCTCTACTTTGTAGTATTAGGAAGAAAGGAGGAAACAAGAAAGAGCGAGAGAGATTGAGTTTGTATCCATTTTCAAATACTTGTGCTGAGATCTTTGCTCTTTGAATCCTGAGAGTGATTTTGAGACCAAAATTATTCTTTCTATTGAAACAGTCCCACTTATGGAATATATATGATGCTGTTGGATGGTTCTTTCTTTATATCTGTGTTGTGAAAAGCAAGGAGGAGAGGCTTGAAAAGGCTTGCCTTCCTCCAGGAACACTGTATCTGATTTGGGAGCATTCTTGGAGGTTAAGATTGGTGACTATCAAGAAAGCAAATACTTCATGCAAGGGTAAGTCCTCTAATTATGTTTGTATTGAATAGCTGCCAGAACCCCATGTCAGGATGTCCTCAGTCACGGCTCTGATCTCACCATTCCTTCCTAGGCTATTGCACAATTGTATTGTGTGTTTGTGGTAAGGGAGAAAGTTGGATACTGGGGTTGTGCAACCTTCCCAGGGAAGGAAGCCATGTTTTATTTTAGTTGCTTGGTTTGGATTAGAGCCTATAGGAGATTGAATAACATAAGAAAACATTGTAGCCCATTCATGTAATTGAAATCTGGTCTCCTGTGTATGTATATGAAATATGAAGATTAATAGCAAGGGTGGAAAATGTAAATGTCAATGAAAATGCCTTTATTATTGTGGTAGAAATATACAACGGCATAAATATCTACTTGTTATAACTGACTTTTTTTCCAGTGGAACTGAACCTGTAGAAGCAGCACAATTTAGCTGATAGGTTTTTGAGGTGCCAATGAAGGAACTCTTTGAACTGCCTATGATCAATCGCTTCCATGATTTGTTATGACAGAAAGGGTGGAGAGAAAGTAGTGACATACCACAGGTTATTCACTAGAGTGAAGGCAGGCCAAAAATGCCAATGAGTATAGCAATAGAGCCAGATACAAAGGACAGAATAACTCCTTGCAAACAGTAGTAGTATCAGAAGTCTCAGAAATCATAGAGGTGAAAGTTGGGAGCCACTTTGATTGCACACATATCAAGTACCTGAGTGACCACAGGAGATTGCTTCACCTGTGGAAATTCTGTCTGAAATGCAATAGCTTGATATATTCCAGCACTGGGGATCCTGAGAAGATATTCAGTCCTATCTCCTCAGCCAGTGGGTGAGATATAAAAATATGCTGTATTTTCAAATGTTTATCTGAGCCTAGCAACTAACTCATCAATTAAATCAATCTAGTGAAATAGAAAAACTGCTTGCTCCATTATTTTGAACAAAGGTGACTGATACAAATCAGGTCCCATCATAAACATCATCCTGCAGTTCAGAAACCTAAATTCTGTCATTACTGCAAAGCACTAATCAGCCCCTTTTGTTTCAGCTGATGTTCAGAGCATATCATAAGGCATATAGAAATTGTTGTTTGAGACAGATAAACATGTAGTGTTACAGTGACAGACTTGGAAGATGCGTACAAATGTTCAAACAAACTGGTCTGAGTTTTGTGGTTTTGTTTGAGTGACCTAAACCCCTATTGATAGAACCTCTGCAAGTGTTTGGCATGTGGGGGAGAAGGGGCACCGGTCCCAACTCTCCTGTTCCTGGTCCACTTTCTAGCTGCTGTCTCCAATCAAGTTGCCGGGGGGGATCCCTGTTCCTCATGGCCTGGGGAATAGTCCCTGGGGTAGGGCACACCATGATGACCAGACTCTCACACTACGTGGAGTTCTGTGATGTCTTCTGGGGAGACAACATTGATACCACTCAGGAGTGTCATAGGTTGCTGCAAAGTGATCCAGGACCTGCTTTATGAACTTCCCATCCTGCCACTGGGACTCTGCCAACTTTGCCCTGGTACAGATAGCCTTGAAATGTCAAGTAGCCTTTTGAGCCCCAGGTCCTGCACCTTAGCAGACTGGATGTAGGCATCTCTCAGCCCTGCAATGCCCCCCTCCACACCACAGTCTTTCCTTATGCTGGTGCCAGAACTCTCAATGCTAAGAGGCTGCAGAATGTGGCTGGCACTCAGAAGCAGTTACAAGGCTCTTCTGGCATTTCCCTTGCTTCATTGCCATCTCACCTGACATTTCTCATGCACTCTGCAGCTCTGTGACAGCCTATCTTGAGCTGCTGTCACATGCTCTGCAGGCTTCCCTCCCCCATGCTGGTGATGTCTCTGAGAACAGAGACAAGAGGCACTGCAGCTTTGTGAAATGCATCACACTTTTCTGATATAACTGCAGAAGTTTCAGCCCCTGCCGTATTTTGGCCAGATACTCTTGCAGAGACAGGAGCTGGAAATGCCCCACCTGTCTCCCTTGGGTTTGGGATCTGTGCTGCACTCCCCCACATAGCCCATCTGGGATTGGGTCCTAGTTTCAATTGTTTTAACTAGTTGTGCTCTGTGTAGGTGGGAGGCCCCACTGTTGTGCTGGACAGGCTGCCTAGCAGGAAGCGGGTAGGCCTCTCCCAGGAAACTCAGAAAAGGATTCTGAGTTTCCCAAGAGTATGCAGAGACTGCCTGCTTGTGGGACCTCCAGACCTAATTTTCTATGATTCTAACTGTGCTCCAGGAGCACAATGTCTCCCAATGTCTCTAGGTGCTGGAAGCAGGGCATTTATTACTGTGCCAGGGGAGCCTCTCTTTATGCCCGGCTTCTTGTTTAGGAGATGGTCTATCAAGAGTTGTTCAAGTCCTGGAAGCTCGTTGCATGCATTGATGGCATGATTGAAAGGCTGGGAATACCGCTTAACATGAGAGTCAAGCTTGAGTGTCATCTCTGCCTCCGACAGGGTGGCCTGAAACCCCAAGATGTCACATCCATCGTGACACAGCCCTCACCTTTGGATGACCCAGCTGAGGGACATTTTTTTCCCACCTGGTGCTACCTGTTGCCCTCAGTTACCACACTTGATTCCTGTGATTACAGGTAGGGGAGAAAGAGAAGGAGCTGTCCAGCCTAGAGCACCCCACTTCCTGCTTCCAAGCCTCTGGTCCACACCACCACTGATGCTCCCTGTGGTCCACACTACCACTGATGTGCACTGAAGCAGCAGCAGGGGCTTCCAGACCACTGGGGGAATGGGTTGTTATGTGTTATCCTGGGGAATGGAGGGGCACTGGGGCAATGTGCTTTCCTAGAAGGGACCAGGGTTATGTGAGGTCTTGAGCACTGAGTACAGTGAATGATTTGGTTTTGAGACTCAGCTGTCACAGAGCCATGGATAGGGACTGGACTGGTCAAGTGCTGCCTAAAAACCTTGCTTGGAACCTCAGCCTTGGAACAACCCTAGGATTCAATCCAGCATGCATATGGTCTTGCTTTCTCTTTCAGGACTCTTGTCTTCTCAACAGTGCCTGTTTTGGCAAGGGGTTGTATGCTGGGAGGGGGAGGGGGGTGGGGGGCCTTTCTGACCCTTGATGTACTACAATGCCAGCAGTTCTTATCACTGCATCTTTTCACATGCCCTTTACTTGAGTTTCCTATCTGCCACCCATCCTGGTGGCATGGCACTGGGCATAGAACATCAATACCTGTCACAGCCATTAGCCACCACAGACAGGAAGTGAGGAAGAGTTCCACAAGTTCCTTCAGGTGACAGTCTTAGATGGCAGGCCATGGGTGGTGGGGCCGTTACTACCCTGCCCTCCTATCCATTGGTGTGGACCATACTTTGTCACCACCCTTGGGGATGTTGGGCTCACTCTGCACCTGGTTCCACATCACATCTGTGTGGTACAGTACTGATTCCTACCTTTCCATGCAGCAGGCCCTGCCTCAGCACCATCAGGATCAGTGCTGGGAGGAGTGGGTGCTGCTTGGGTCCCTGTGCTGGGACTGGGAAGAGGGGTGGGCACTCTTCAGTCCACCATGCTGGGACTGGGACTGGGAGTGGGCACTTTCTGGTCTCCCACCCTGGAATCTGGAGAAATGATGGGTTTTCTTTGGCTCCTTGTGCTATGATCAGGAGATCTGGTGAGAGGTCTCTGTGTCAGTACAGGGTCTATGAGGAGCTATCAGCAGAAAGGGACTGGACCATTCTTGGCTCTGATGCAGCAAATGGTGTCTCTGGATATGTAGTACCCCTCAGATACACAGGGTCCAGGGTTTGTTGGGGACCAAGTGCTAGTCCCACGCCCACCTGCAATGTAGTTGACATGATATCAGGGTCCAAGTCCTATATTTCAATCACCATGCTGTCAGATTTGCTCCTTGTGTCCTGCCTCTCAGTGCCCATAGTCCCACCTCCCAGGAGGAGCCTGAGGGAGCTGAGATCCAGCTCCAGCTATGATGCACCTCCTGGTTTGCCTGTTTCCCCAGGGCCTTCCTATTAAAGGCAAAGTTGTGCCACTTATGCATGGTTCAATGATAAATCAGTTGGACTGTTTGCAGAGTAAAATATTACATTTGACAGACTTGTTCTTCCCAAATATTTCAGGGTGAAGACACCTCTATTAAAGTAGATTTTTAAAAAAGAATACACTGTACATAATTACTAGAGTATGATAAAAAATAATATCACAACAAAATAATTAATCTGCAGAAGTAATTCCTCAACTGACCTAATACTTTTTTATTCTGATTGATTAGCTTCACACTCACAGGAAAATATTATGCAAATATAAATGGTCTGGCAGCAAAATATGCTTCCTTTACTTTCAACTCATTATTAATTATCTCTTTGTACTACCTGGAAAACATATATTTTAATTTTTAACCTGTAATTCTTGGGGGCTGAGCATTTCTGAAGAATCTGCAGGAAGATTATGTATGCTTGTATGTAGGACAGTGTTACATCCCTAAATTAAATCTGTAAAAAAAAATCCAGCAAAGCCATTGTCAAAACCAGAGCATTTTGCAACATTGTGGTGATTTACATTAATTTTCTGTTTAAAATATTTTACACATCTCAATAGATTTCAAGTTCTGTCGGTCATTTCATTTAGAGTTTTCCTATGTCTTTTCAAATTTTCTAGATTATTTTTTGTTGCTTGTAGTCTATTACATGTTGCTTTGAACAAGCACTTGCTCTTCCTTTCCATCTTCTCTCTTTCCATGCCTGGATAACACCGTGACAATTGGATGATGTTTTAAAAAAAATATTCTCCCAGTGATGATAGGGTGTTTCTCTCCTTTATCATGCTTTTAAGTTAATTCATTATGGAATGTAGTGTGGTTTGGTTTCCATGGCTAGGGAGAGACATTCAAAAAGCCTGAGCCTGAATTGATTCATCCTTTGAAGGTTAGTCTAACCTGGCTAGGCTGAACCAGTTTCCAACCATACAGACAATTCCTCTGGACTGAGGAAATTTAGGCACATGCCTGCAGTGGCTCAGGCAGGAAGCTGGGGAATGCTAGAGCCCTGCCCTTCCACAGAGCTAAATTCAGGGAGGAATGGCCAGCCCCCATCAGGGCTCTCATTAGAGAGGGGTGTGAACCCCCACCCTGCCTACAGTCTCAGACTTTTCTCTGCTCGTTGCTAAAGGGCTGGGGGTGTTGCCAGCCTGCAGCCATGGGCAGCACACTGAGGCAAGTGCATGCAGTGCATGCATCTGTTGATGATACAGAGCTTTTCACTCTTCCTCCCTGCTTCTGTATACTGTCTGCAGCAAACTGACAGGCAAGCAAGCTGGGTTGGGGGAATTGATAGCAGCGTTTATGCAGCGTGGGTGGGGGGGGGCAGTGCTGATGTGGAGCAGAGAGCCCCACCCAGCCCAGAGAGCATGCTTGGATGCTGGGGGTGTCTGGTTTATCTTAAACCGGAGGTGGTCTGGGACAGACATTGCATAAACCAGTTTGAGCCAAATCTGTTAACTCTGATACTACATTCAACCAGGCTTATCTCAAACCATTTTCAAACTGGTTTATGTGCACTGAACATCTGTTCTGTTACAGGTTTAAACCAGGTTCTGATCACTTAAACCAGTTAATATGTAAAGTCTGTCCCTAGCCCATGAAGGCATTTAGTGCATGGGCTAAGGTATGTCTCTTACTGCAATAGGCACATGTAAGACTCATGGATTCTTAAGCTTTTGTTGTGAAGTGTATTGATTGTGATTGTGGTCATGTCGTATTGGCAGGTTTTGCATTTTTTGTTTTGGCAGGGCCTATTTCCATTTGGAGTTTGTAGGTCAACAGGGAGTGTGCTTCTGTTGACCGTTTGGCAACTTTGGGGATTATATGAAAGTAGGGGGAGGGATGAGCAGGGAATTGGGAATAATGGTTTCAGGGTAAGAAGTTGCTCAAATAGGAGTTGCAATATTCTTAATGATGTTCTGTCATATTATTTATCATGTGGGATGGTATGTGACCACCATGGATGAATGATTAGTGGGAGTTCTTTTTGTACGGTATTAAGTTTTGTGAGCTTTTTAAATGGCTCATTCAAAGATGCCTTTTATGTTCCTGGTGGAGTGTCAGAGTTGCTAAGAGAAGTTTTAGGTTGTTGAGGCAGATGTTGTGGGTATTCTTGTCATAGATGTGATAGCATTTGAAAACCTGTCCGTAGGTCAGTGCTTTATTAGTATTTTTGACATGATTGCTGGTGGTTTGTGGCATTCAAACCTGGAAGACTTATTTTTATCTCCCCCAACTATATAAATTGGTCTAATAAAAGATATTTCCTCACTTTACACACTGTACATCTCTCATATCTTTGGACCATCATGTTCATAATCACAACACTGCTTTATCATGAATTCATTTTATTTGCCTGCTTCTACCCATTCTGCCCTGCGGTTAAATGGGAGAAGGAAGGAAGGAAGGTGCAGGGTAGAGCACCAAAGCTTTTTTATATTGAGAATTATGGGGAGACTTTTAAAAGCTTTGAAAGTCTTCCTGTCAGTGGAGCTTAAGTACGTCTAAAGAGTGAAATAACTTATTACAGCCATTTTTCAAAATCCAGTTCATTTCTGCCACCTAAGACCCAGAGGATAAACTTCAGCCTTTACCCTTCTCTCCTTCCCTGGTTTCCTACAAATTGTTGCATTATGAGAACATATTGCCAAGTGTCCTTTGTAACAGCATTAACTGTCTCTCCCCCACTATGATATTCATATTTTTTTAAGTTCCCAAGTTACCTTAGAGCAGAGAGCAAAGTCTGGGCATTTTTCCCACTCAGCCAATGCTGTATCTTTTCACTCTTATCCAGCAGAACTCTCACACTTTTCTCTCTGTGTGCTTATTCAAAAGTGAACTGGGATCCAATTTATGAATTCTAAATGTAGAACATTTGAATTTGATGCATGAAATCACAACCCAAAATTAATCAATCACACATCGTTATTATGCTCCAAATAATTCTCTTGATTCCATTTAAAATATGAACCCTTTTCAAATGGGCACAAATTAAAAGGTGAAAAAGCTACAATCCTAAAGTCAGTCCTTAAAACACTAGAATTTATAATTACCTTTTTATGGGAAATGTTAGCTTTCTGAGTTCAGTAACCTTCAAGCAGCATCTTGTATATCAGAGTATATGTAAGTATGTCAGAGTCTACATAAAAGATATATTTGCAGAGGTGAAGTACCAAGGGTCTCTCTAATCAATTATCCTCAACCAGGGTACCATGGAATCCTGGGTTGCTGTGAGATCCTCTTAAAGGTGTGGTTACATGCTATACCATGTTAGCATTGATAGATGTGCAGACACCTACGTGTGATTCACAAGAAAAACCCAGAAATTTAAAATAGAAATCCATACTGTCCAAAACATCTGACTTCTTTTGGTCTTTCTGGGTTCTTTGCTGCAGAAGAATTGCACTTTTAGTTTCCTGTGGTAAAAACAAAAAGGTAAAAACTAACAGCTGGCATTTTCAAGGGATGCCTTGACTCTAACGAGGTTGAGAACTGCTGTTCTATATAAAGTAATACATATATCCAGCTAGAATCATGGCCTACCTTAAACATAAATTTGACTTAAAAAATGCACTAAATTTAATTAGTTATGTATTGTGTGATAGGGTATCAGGTGATTGGGTATTGTGCTGCATTTAATAACATTTCTAATTGTGCATGTTTCATATGTACTAGAAGAAAGTAAATATTGTGTATGAAGATAATATTGAAATACAGAAACATCGATCATGTGGTATTCTAAAACCAGAATTAAAAATGTTTTCTTTATGGTTATATGGTGTATTCAGTGTTACAGCAACGTTTCTCTGTAATTTCAGTATTAAAGGTTACCTTGCTCATACTTCGAATCACAAGTTATTGTCAGGGGATGGTTTTCAGAGAAGTGCTTCCTGTTGGTCTGTATTTATTGATATTATGTTTTCTAAAATATTCAGTTGTGATTATTCCTTTAGAATCCAAAAGTGCATGTAAGTTAACAAATAATAACTATGTTATTCTTTTTGCTACCATGACTCACTTCTGCTAGGAATGTATTATATGGTTCTAGTTGTTCCGTCTAAGGTGGTATCAACTACCATATTCCAACAAAATGGTGTTTTTTATTTTTTAACTATGGAAAAAATGAAAGATATCAAAAATGATCTACCGGTAATTGCTCAAGCTGCATATAAATTCATCCTAATGGGCTTGATTCATCCATCTTTCTTTTCTTGCAGGTCATGCTTTTTTTTTTTTTTTGCAGGGTAGTATTTTAACAACACTTGAACAAATCCTTTTTTCTTTCAATAATGTGGTTAACTGTCTGGAATTTCAGCCACTGGAAATTCTCTCCCCCCTCCCCCAAACGAATCTCCATTAAGCATCCAAATAGAGTTACTTCATCCTTGCAGCTGGATGGATGGAAGACTTTCTAGGGCCTAAGTACTTACTGTATATGTCACCCCTTTCAATGTTTTTTTTTTTTTTCCCAGCCACAGCTTTAGGAGCAGGTGCTGGCCTTTTGCTTTCTTTCTGCTTCCTCTGTGGGGAACAGGCTGGAAAGAGCCAACTAATTAGAAAATTCTACAGGGAAATTAATTCTGCAAACAGCTGTGGAATGGTATTTCATTATAATGTGCACTTGCTGTCTGTCAGCAGGGTCCTGATTGGCTTGACAAGTGGCTGTTCTCCCAGATGTTCTACATTATGCGATGAGACCATAACTGCATTACATGGTGCCTGTATACTAAAGAGGGGACTATTGGTGTTTGAATAAGACATTCTTAGAAGCTAAAGTAGACTAAACTACCCTTCGGTACACAGTACGTTGATGTTATCTTTAGTAAGGCAAGAATACAATGGGGTTGTTTTTATAAATTGCTTAAATTTTAGCAATGAAACACTGTTTTCAACTAGTTTAATTGCACACTTTACTTGCAAGTGAGACAGGCATAGATGAAGAGGAAGGAGAGAGACATAACAAAGCAGATACCTTGATCTGTGGGCATTTGGTATTTGCAGACTTGTCTCGTTCAGATTGATTACAAAACGTTGCAGGCATCTGCACTGAGAGGACTCTACAACTGTGCCACGGACGGTGTGTGTCATTCTAAACAGATCATCATTTACACTGTGGCATTAAAGTCAGAAGGGGGATCTCTGAGTGTATTGTCCCTTTTCTCCAGTTTTTGGTTCAAAGAGCATTTGTAAAATAGTAATATTTAAAGCGCTACTTATACTTGTATACATGATTTGCTTATCTTCAACTTCATCATTGTAGGCCTCTTGTTTTCTCTCAATCTGTTACAAAGTTTGTATTATTCCTTTACCTTGATGATGGAATGCCTGCATAAATTTCTTTTTTAATACTTCTTTCAGACAACTTGCCAGATCTGAGGATGTAAAACAGCACATCATTTTCTACATGCAAATCTAACTTCTCTGATTTCCACCACCAGAGAATCTTGCAGTACATTTTCCTTTCCAGAGAACTGGTACAGTATGGGTAGCTAAAGAGAAAGTAACCTGGTAATTCTGGCATTTCTCTAATGTGGAGAAATCATATGGACCACATGTAGCAGATCTGTTCTATAGTCTAAATTTTCTCTATCCTTTGATATGTGAAAATTTTATTTTTAAACACCTAAAATTTTTTGTACATGGATGATGAGTGACACTGAATTTGTCAGGTGAACATATGGAAGTGGCATTTGTGGTTTATGGTGAGAATTCAGTGTACTCTTAAAGCATGTAAATCCCTATTTAACCATTTTTATTAATTTTTAAGTATACAGCATATTTGTTTCAAAATTACAGTTAATTATAGAATATATTTTAGCTAAAATTAGACATTGAATAATTCCTCTCAACTCTGCTTTCAATGGAAATAATTTAAAGGAATTACTAACTCAGATAGCACAGACATATTCATTTGTTTTGAAAACAAATATCATGGATTAAATTAAACATTCGTATAATTCCACTAAAACCTATGAATATACATCAGCGATGATTTGAGTCTAATTGGTTTGCTATGGCACAAAAATTCTCGAAAGTTCAACCAAATGTTTACATTATCATCAGGATGTACTTATCAACTATCATTAGTAAATAAAAGATGACACGCTGCATCTGTCCTTAGAAGTCATTGCAATCTCAGGTTTAATAATATGTCTCATTTAAATATTAGGGGCAAATTATACCATGCCTCAGAAGTGGTGAAACATTGCAACTTCTCCAAAACCATATAATGTAACAATTAGAATTATGTGCAAAATAGATGTTTAGTTTGTTGATTGAACTGGAAAAATATCAGGGAAAAATATTGATTCAGGTCACCCTGAAGTGGATTTTTTTCTCTCCTGTTTTCTCCAAGGTTCTCCAAAGTCTCCTGTATTCTCCAAAATTCTGAATAAATTTATTTGTGTTGATCCAAGATGTATCGTATCTACAACAAAATGTCCCATTCCACATTGGATTAAAAAAGGCATTTGTTTGACCTAAGAAAACAAAACAAGGCATTTGTTTTTTGAATGAAATGAAATGTTTTGATTTGTGGCATAATCAGTTTCTTCTAACCTTATTTAAAATCAAGGCAAATTGTGAAATGAGAATGCCATCTCAAAATGAAAATTAAAAGCATTTCATTTAAAAAAAACACTGAAAATAAACAGAATAAAAAAAAATCTCCCTTTTTATTTTTCAGCCAAAAAGTCATTCATCAAAGATGACTTAAATTCACAGACAAATAAACAAACAGTTCTAGTTATAATATAGGTTTTTCATCTAGTTTTTTCAATAAGTTTATTTCATAGACAATGCACAGTGTTAACGATCTAAAATCAGTTTGATTTATGAAATGTTGTGCGCAGATGAGTTTGTCATTAACAGAAAAGCGGTACATGTTTTTACTTAAATTCACTCATTTCTCCAAGGATTTGCTATCCAAAACCAATTGGGAATTTTGTTTGGATGGTTTACCCACACCTCATAATATTATCTATGCTCTTGAGACAAACCACCATCTGGAAAAGCTGTTTACAAAAATGATTTCCAAGTTCAAGATGCAAATATTTTCATTTCCTTGTGGTTCCAATGATTATTTTAATATGTGATTGGTTTAATACTATTAAACTATATTTTACATTGGGAAATTAATTTTTAAAAATATTTTACCACGGCTAAATTTCCATGCCTCTGCAAAGCTTGTACCTTTCTTGACACATTGTTTGAACGCTTCTGCTTGAAATTTAAAATTGGACACCACCCATGAGGCACTCAGTGTAATGCATAACCATAAAAATTCCAACTGCTCCAAAATCTTGAATACTAGTAGGTTATCTGTAACCTCAGTCAGAAGGAAGTAAGGAATAATGAGATAGTGAGGGAGGAGGGAATGAAGATTCTACTATAATTAGGTTCTTTTCTTATTTACTTAATGAGTTTCAGGCATTGATTCATGTCATCTTACTATCAATTACTTCTGAGTTACATAAATTACAAACTCAAAGCTAGGCTGTGCCTTGATCTGATTGAATGTACAAGAAGTTAGAGAGGAAAAGAATCTCCTCCCTACTTCTGGGGCAGTGAAGTGCTTTGGGAATGCAAATATTTTTTCTGGGATAGTGCTAATCGGTGAACTGCTCTTCTCCCACAACAAATGGAGAGTATGTGTATAAAGGTGGAGTTACTCCTCTGTGCAGAGCAAATACATACTGCATGCTTTTAATTTCCTTTTTACTACTTAAGGAATTGTGGCTGTCTTGGACAAAATGCTTTTTAGGTTCCGCTGTAGTTGGCTTTTCAATTGGGAAATGCTAATGGTCTTCTGAATGGTGTTAGGAGATCTCAGTTTTCCTTCATATTGAAATATACAGTAAATCAGTCTCTTAAAAAACCATGGTAAGTACTTATGAGGGGGACAGAAAATGAAAGGATGTTCTTCTTGACCCAGGGTACCCTCTTCAGAGGCAAAAAGAGAAGATGGCTTGGCCTTCTTTCAAATTAATTTGTGCAAGGACCCCTTCCTTCTATCCCTGCCATCAGCTCAACAAAAGTGATGGGGTTGAATGAAGTTGTGCCCATGCTTTGGTTTCTATGGTCTAGATGATGCCATAAGTATTTGGTGAGAACTCTTTTTCTTATCTACGCTGTCCAGGACTTCCAGGTATTATCCCACGCAAGTGCTAACCAGACCCGGTACTGCTTAGACTCCAACACTGGGTGCGTGCATTCTGGCATAGCTTCTCTTACAAGCACTGCGGATAATCAAAAGACCTAGAAGAACAAATATTCTTAATAATGATCCTGATTTCCAGCCAGAAAATAGCCATGCAAATTATGGTCCATGAAAATTCTGAGTCCCAACATTATGGCTCGGAATATATACATTGCCTGAGAATTACTGATCTGAACGTAGGTCAACAGCCTGATATCCGCATATACTGACAGTTGAATGTGCAGCAAGTAAGCCTATGATTACTGGGATAATTAGGTCATCTTTGAATCCTTTGGCTAAACAGAAAGTGACATATCTTTAGGTTTTACAAATGTAAAGGCTTTCTCTCTGGTCTGTGTTGTTTAATTTCATTTCAAGTCATTCCACTGCACTTGTCAATGCTTTCTAGTAGGGAAGACATTGAAGTGCTCAGTTTTTTAGGGAGGCCACTAAATCAACTGCAAGTAGATGCAAGTAGTGGTTAAATCAACCTCATCCCTCCCCCCACCCCTTTGAGTGTAGTCTGCCTTCAAAGGAGTGCATATCAAGCCTTTTGAAACATATAAGACTGAGAAATCTGGCATGCCAGCTGCCCCTCTTTATGACTGATAGAAATGAGTTATAGGGACCATTTGCTGAGGCCAACATATTTGTATAAACTTTCTCAAAACAAAGTTGTTTAGAATTTTAAAATGGTATTTTCAAAAGTGCCCACTGTTACCATGATTCTGCTGCTGTCTAAACTGATGGAGTTTTTACTGTTGATTTTAACTGAAGCAGAGCTAGGCTTTTGAACATCCCATCCTTATTCCAAACTTTCTTAGTCAGACAAATAAACACAGTCTCTGAGATCTCCTCCATCATCCTTCCTCTCTTCCACATGACAAAAAGCCCCTTAAATGGATGTCCCTTAACCCCCCCAAAATCAAGGAAATAAAGCTTAAACATGCTTGATGAAAGAAGAAGCTAAGATTGGGAAATAAATTAATACAATATGCTTTTTGACACATCTGGCAAATTTCAGTGTTTTCAGGGGTTTTCTCCCAAAATTGCTGTATAAGCATCCACCCTTCCAGTTTGACTAACAGGGCTACATTCCAGGAAGAAAAAAATCAACTAGCAACAGTCATTTGGTTCTCTTTACTTTTTCGAACGTTGACTCTCCAAATATTTTGTAGAGAGTCTAATTAATATTACATACATTTATAACAGTGATTAATGTCACAAATTGATGCTTATAAAGTTTAAGTCACTTTTAAAGAGAAAGAGAGAGAAGCTGGATTTCCTGAGGTCATACTATTAGTGAGATCTTCAGGTACTCAGAACTTCTGAAAAGCAAATCATTTAGAAGCCTATTTTATGACTTAAGCTTCCCCAGCAAGTCAGTGTCAGAGCAGAGATCAGGAGAACCCGGGTCTTTAGACTTTTAGGGCATTTATGCTGACCCATAGACCCCAGATAATTTCCCTAATTTTGCCCTTTAAAAAATAATATCCCAAACTCCTATCAAGCCCCTTCTAACAGGAATAGTTATTTTGCACAAAAATAATTTTACAATGCAAGAGATAATGTATATGCTAGAAATGTGAGTATAACTTATGTGCATCATTTCTGGTAAAGACATACAAAAGCTGGATTTCTTTCTGTTGTTCTTGGGAAACTGGAAAAAGTTAAAATTCTGCTTTACAAATTAGACTTTTCAAAGAACTCTAATTTTGATCAGTTATCATGCTAGTCTGTGCAATAATACCACATTATATATAGTCATATACAAATCAGCCAAAAAATTATATTTCCAGCTGTTGCCAAGAGCTTTGGGGAAACAGAATATAGAGAGGAAGACAGAAAATCGGCATGTTCTAAGACTCGACTATTATGAAATAGAAAAAAATAATTTTAAAGAAAAACCTGAAAACATTGATCAGATGAAAACTGCTGAGAAATCTTTTGAGGTTGATGCTTAAATTTGTTAAACTAATTCTGCCATCCAGTGTACTCCTTGGACATGCACAGTGCATCATAATATGCTTTTCTTGTTAATACAAAAAGTTGGAAACAAAGATGAAATTGAAGAGTACAGGGCATGGCAACTACTTTAAAGAGACCCTCTCAATCTCTGGACACCCCCCAAGATTTTCCTGTTAAGAGAAATATAAAATCAAAGCAGCATTGGTACAGGGCATCCTGTATTAAGAGGCAACATATGATTTATGGTGCATATTAATTTTTCGTATGTGCACTGAAGAAATTTAAAATAATTTAGTGGTTCACAACTACAACTTGAATGACTAACCAGTCA